ACTCAGCTATCATTGGCGCGAACTAGAAGAAGCGACTTGCCATGCCGAACTGTAAGGAAAAACAGTAGTTCACGTAGAAGATTGCGAACTCAGAGGAGTGGCTTGAGACGAAGAAGGCGAACAGTGAGAATCGATTGGCGATGAAGATGGAAATTCTTCTCTCAATCGGGTCTTTCTTGGACGTGAATTAATAGCCGCTGAATCAGTCTACGAAGGGAGAGAAACTGTTCGCGACTGCGAACAGTGAGAAGAGATTCGCGATAGTGAACCAAGAGAAGCATTTCGCGACTCCGTCTGCGAAGTGTTAAACGACTGCGGCAAATTTTGTGTGTCAGATATCGGAAGGTGCCTAGTCTTCCTCGATCGGTCTCCAGGTCCTCTGCGATGCGAAGCCTCTGCTCTTCCGATCCCTCTGAACTATCTGAGTGTCGCGTGTGTCGATGGTAAGAAGTGCGATGCGATGCGTTTGACGCATGCGATCTGCATCGCAATCGATTCTGGGGTATCTTCTCCATGTTTGCCAATGACGTCTGCATCGCAATCATATCTTCATCCAATCTCTTCACAATCCTCTCAACGTTGTCCATTCGCATCTCCATTTTCTCACGAAACAGACCACATATACCACTGATAGATCTCACGCAGGTATGGAATAGTAAAACAATATGAAATCTAGCTAAGCAGAAGGAATTTAGCTCAAGAATCAATCAAACTTCATTGATGAGGGTAAAATAGTACACGAGTCCCAAAGAAAAGAGAAAACAGTTCTCTAATCTTCCCAGTCCCAAGACAACAGTGTAACAGCCTGTTTGACCTCTCCCAAACTTATTCTATTTATAGCCTCCTAGCTCAACCGAAAATAGTTAATAGCTACTAACAGCAAACAATTATTAACAAACTGTTCTATTTATTTCTTCTAGAATAGACCTGACCAAAGTATATATCCTTCTTATTAAAAGTAGTCGTATTCCTAACACAGGTAATGAATGCACAAATTATAGCTCTTGGGGAGACAAGATTAGCTTCAAAGATAATATCATAATAGTATGGTTATTAGAAAGGCATTGCATTTCCATGTCATATACTTTGACAGGAGTGTAATCCAATCTTGAAGGCTCTAACTTCATCTTTTGAAGTTCTAGTTCATTTTTACTGAAAGGAAAAAGGCTAGCTAAATTAATTGAAAAATAACAGACCATGTATTTGGTGTTTTGTATATTGGTCTTAATATTGTTAATATTTTTGCCCAAGTCTTTCTCTTTTTCTGGTAAGCACTACCTATATCCCATCCATGCCTTATGGGCTTGGAGTGAGTCAGTGAGGTGGAGAATATGATTTATTCACTTATCTAATTTTACTAGGTTATTTTCCTATTATTTGTGTCTTTTTTTATTTTGTTTTTCTTCTTAGGTATTTATATGATAGATTTGTTCCATTTGCAATAATAACATAAAATAGGTTGTCTGTAAAGTTGACAATATTTCATTCTGAATTTCCTGGTTCTCTCTGTTGTTGGCCTTCTTCAAGATGATGTTGATCCTCAGTGGTGAAGGTTGAGAAGGCTCCATTGGAAATCGTATGCGGATATTGGTGGACTAGATGCACAAATTCACGAGATCTAGGAAGCAGTTGAGCTTCGCTTAACACATTCCGAGTTGTGTGGAGATTTAGGTATTAGACCAACTACTGGGGTCATTCTCTATGGAGAGCCTGGCACTGGAAAAACATTGCTGGTGAAGGTTTGTTCACAATTTCATGTTCTGTTTGTTTAATTGTTTCATTATATATTAGTTTTTCTTGTCAATGAAATAGGCTGAAGAAAGCAATGCTTTTCTTGGCTGAATGAACATTGTTTATCTACAGGAAATGGAAGGATAACACCATGCATATAAAATAAGTTGCATCTGTAGCACTGACAGAAACAATTAGGGAAGAACATATCGGAGAAATTTGGAAGGAACATAAATGTGTGCGGAAGAAGTATTATTTCAAACTCAATAAATCTATTTTTGATACGGAGTATTACTTTAAGCTCTGTTCATTTATTTGTTTCCATCATATAAAGGCTACAAAATCTAAAAGACTGAAATTTTAAAAGCATTAATCATATTTCATTTTCCTAGGTAAAAACCAAACATTAGAAAGTGCCTCCCTCTATCAATCTTTTCTCCTTTCCCTACCATTTTTTCATGGTCAAGCGTCTAATGATGAGATCAAGTACATTTGCTCAACTTTATAATTTTTCCTATTCACATTTCAGTGTTAATGATTTCCATCATTTGCAATGGAGCCAAAAGCTCACTATTTTTTGGCTTGGGAATATGATGGAATAAAGCAAACTGGCTCACTAAATTGTCTTTTTTATGAAGCATCAGTCAGTCCATGAAATTTTCGACGCGATTTTCACTATAGGTCATCCGGAAACAGTCTCTTTGTGCTTTAGTATAGGGGTAAGACTGCGTACATCCGACCCCCCCCTACCCCACCGTAGGTGGGAGCCTTTGCGGCACTGGGGTAATGATAATGAGTGAATGACATTTCAGTGTTAATGAATTTTTGTATAGCTTGCGTCATTGTTATAATAATAATACTAACCACCATTATTAGGTAATGCAACTTTCAATAATACCAACGATTCCCTACAGACTAAAAATAACAAATAACAAATTGATAACAAAACAATTTCAAACAGATACTGAGCTTGTTAGTATAGACCAATAAAAACTGCCACCAGCTATTGGCCATATACAAGTTACAACCCATGATCATGTCAGCACTTTAGTCTGATTTCATGCCTCAAAATATGCTTATATTGTTGTAGGTATATTATACTAGTATGACTGTATGTCCATCAACTTGTAATTTCTGAACTTGAAACTAGTACAGAATATACAATTTAGGATCTACTAGTGTTGTACAAAGAATCTAACAGATTGCCTGTCTATGATCTTCAGGCAATTGCTAACACAACCTCCACAACTTTCTTGTGTGTTGTTGAAAGTGAATCGATTTAAAAGTACTTGGGAGATGGTCCCAAATTGGTCAGGGAACTGTTCATGGTTGCAGATGATCTCTCACCGTTTATTGTCCTCATTGACGAAATTGATGCATTCGGTACCAAAAAGTAAGGTTTTGGTATGCTTTTCAGGGTACAGAAGTTATAGGGTGCCAATTATAAACGTTTTCTTTGAACAGATATGATGCACACTCAGGAGGTGAGCGTGAGATTCAGCGTACCAAGTTGGAACTGCTTAACCAGCTGGACGGTTTTGATTCGAGGGGAGATGTTAAGTTTATCATCCCCACTAAATATATTGAGAGCCTTGACCCTGCCGTACTCTGTCCAGGTAGGATTGACTTGAAGATTGAATTTCCTCTTCCCGATATCAAAACCAGGTGGAAGACTTTCCAGTTAATTTATTTGCATGCATGGGCACATCTCTAATTCAAAATTTTGCAAGTTGGAATTAGTTTTCATTTAAATCTTTATTTTAATTGGTCATTAGATACACACATCAAGGATGTCGTTGGCTGATGATGTCAACTTAGAAGAGTATGTGATCACTAAGGATGAGTTTTAGAGAGCTGATAATCTGATATTAAAGCATTTTGTACGGAAGCTGGTTTGCTTCTAAGAGACAGGCACATGAAGGTAAGTAGTGTCTTTTGTGACTAATTGAGACCCCCCCCCCCCCCCCACTCCCGTAATACAGAACTGAACTTAATTATTTAATTTATATATGTCCAATTTTCAGGTAGTGCATGCTGATTTCAAGAAAGCAAAAGATAAGGTCATGTTTAAGAAGAAATAGGGAGTCCCATAAGGGCTTTACATGTAGTTCTCTTATTGTCATTTGATCCCAAAAATATTTTGTACTGTGGCAAGTTTTAATGACTTCTTTTATCCATTTGGGTAATTTGTGCGTAAACATACAACTCTCTCTCTCTGTCTATTTGGGGTTATCACTATATGAAGTTCCATTGCCCAGTTTCTTTTCTTATTGGTTTCTTGGTTTGTGGAATGGTAACGGAGCAGACCTCCCCGTCCTAATATATAGGAACTGAAACTAGAGCAACAGATGCTGGTTAACAGTGGTATGCAATCAGCCAATGACTGGCTAAAAGGGTAGTTCCGAAATGTTACTCACTGTTTGACATATGTTAATGCTGTTACTCAAAAGTTTAACTCTGGAGCTCATTGCTTTTCTTTTCGTTATTATAGTCCCATCATTATTCTTCGTGGTTATAGATGATCTTCCTATTAATGCTATCAGTTAGTGAAATGCTATAGTTTGTATGTTCTCTCCATTATTACTAATGTCACTCAGGAGTGTAGCAATGAAATTTAATATCTTGCTATGATCTATGAACATAAGCAAATATATAAATGGCCAAAATATGATATTGTCTTTAACCCCTTTACTGTTAAAAACAAGACATACAATTATGACTAATCTACCAACTAATGATACCAAAAAAACACATATTATTATCAAAAAATAACCCGGAGTAATAGTAATGACATTCACCAACTTTCCAATGCAGATTTTATATATGTATTTGCTATTATTTGCATTGTGTATAAGAACCTTTATTAAAAGGGAACTGGAATCATTTAAAAATGCGGTGGAAAATCAAATTAAAGTATTCTACTAGCAATAAAAGTTGTCCTCCGTAGTAGTAAATTTTACAAACAAAAAAAACACACTTGCAGTGAACACCTACATTTTTTAGTAAACCCAAGAATATATTGAAAGAATATAAGAAGTCATTAACCCAACAATATATTGAAAAAAAATAAGTCAAGATAAGAAGAACTGAAGAAGGTTATTAGAAGCTTTCCATTTCACTAACATAACTTACAAACTTACGGATGCTAAACTAAACTAACATATGAAATCTAATCCATCTAATAACCCACTAATAAAAGCCATACTTAAAAAACAAATTATCCAAAAATGATAACAGAGTAATAGTTATTACATTCACCAACTTTCCAATGCAAATAGGGGTCTTGGGGCTCGTATTTCAAACAATACAAAGATGTCAAAATCAGATTAATCTTCTCCCATGTTGGTGTCTAAATCTTCTACATGACGGTATAGGTACTTCCCAAATGTGTGATGAGAAAGAGTCAAACATTGTGCTTTGAGGACCGCAAGAAGAGATTGATAAAGCTCGATATTATCTATCTGTATGTAAAATGAAAATGCATGATAAGATTACTATGAAGAAATAGTCAATGCGATTCAAATTGATAAAAGATGAGTTGTTTACCTTTGCAATCTTAATAGCTGTTTGGATGACTTGATTCCCAAAGCGATCACAGGCTAGAAGCAAAAAAGTCTTTTCGCTGCTCAAGATACACTCAACCACCGACTTCAATCCATAGTGCGATGTTTGAATGCATTTCTCAACAACATTATGCCCACTCTTTTTAAGAGCCAGATGAATGTAACTCCTCTTGAGGCGATCACATATTTTCTGCGTAATCTCTTCATTTTTAAGCATCAACGCTTCTTGTACAACTTGATTCCTGTTTCAAGGGAGGTAATATCAAGTTTAGTCAGTAAAGAGTGTAACGTTTATGATATGAATATGCTAATCAGATTCATGTTTGAAATATTTACCCATAAGGATCATTAGCTAAAAATTGTGATTTCTCTGCAACGTTTTCAAGTAATTGAAGTCTCTGGTCACCACCAATACAACCGAGGCAAACATTCAAAGAATAACATCCATATATTGTTGTAGCCACCTCTTTGAAGTAATGGATTGCACAGTTGTATAGGACCTGCAAGAATAAAGTTACAAATTGTATTGGGAATTGAAATAACATACTAGCTAATGTGATTAACTTTTTCCCTAATCAATTACGGAGTATATATACTAGCTAGACTGTTGAATAAAACGGAGTAGTAGAAATAAGAGGGGTGCTTTAATTATTATTCTTTAAGTGTGTTCTATAAAAAGAGATATTAAATATAATGCATAAAAGTAGATGTAAGGGTGTTTACAAACAAAGGGGGAGCGGGAATATAAATGCAAATTTTTTTAAAAAAAGAAGTGTTTGAATTGATTCACTAAAAGAGGGTGGTAAAGTTAGTATTTTACAAAAAATTACTCAAGCTATCTTTTTTAATTGTACTTAATTAGGAGTATAATAAACATAAGAAAATGCATGTTTTGGTCATTTTATACTTCGTATTATATATTTAAAAATATATTTATTATTTTATCGGTTATTTTTTAATATTATTATGCTACAGTGCTACTCTGAACATGAAAGCTAACTCATCCCCTCCATTATATTCCTCTCTAAAACCCTCAAACATCTAATTCTGTAACATACTCCAAACTAGTTCGATCTCCCGTTAGAATGTAACATTGGTTCAAGTATAATAGGATTATTTTTAGTAAATAAGATTTACAAAATCGGAAATTACATTAAAAGTTTTATAGTAACTGATCAAGAAAAATTAAATTTGATAAAAGTTAGATATATAAAGTAAAAAATTAAGAACAATGCACGTTGATCGGAGAATAGTAGACGTGAATCTTTAAATGGGACAGAGGGAAAACTACGTACTTTGTATTAATTAAGGAGATTTAGGTTGAGTCAAATTACTCAAATACCTTATTTTCTTCAGCCTTGAAGGTGTAAAAGCACTCTTGAACAACATATCTACCAAACTGGCTTGTCATTAGCTCCACAAATCTCACGGATAGAATGATCGTAATAAACTGTCCCAACCCAGTCTTTTTTAGTCTCTTGATAAAGTGTTGTAGTGCACTTGACCTATATGAAAACAATGAAGTAGTGATATAAACTAATTAGTAAATTAAACTTAAAACAATCAATACTAATATTAAACATTCTATATTATTACTAAAATAGAACTCTTACACAACAATAAGAAACTATGTATACTACTACGTATATTCGATTCGAAATATCCATCATTGTAGCTATATTTTATGTGGAATATCACAATAGGTCAATAGTCATGCATTAATTAAGTAATCATTATCGTGAATATATATTTATAATGGTTGTGTGTATTAAGGAAATAATTCACGTTCTTGTGCATTTTTATTTTTATCATATGATTGTAATATTGAAAAAAAGATTAAAAAAAAAAGAAAAAGAAAAATGTGAATTTAATATAATTAATTTTTGATAAGTTTATTTACCCGTATTTCACAAGAGAAGTGTTGATAAATTGCTCCTTGTTTGATATGAGATTGAAAAAGATGGTCTCCAGCTGCTTGGAATCACAAAAATCAAGTAGTCTATGGATGAGAACATGGCCATATTGGTCTATTATCACCTCAAAAATCCCTCTAAGGATCCCATCAAGAACTTCTTGCCTATCCATTGGAGTTCCATACTTAACCAGATTTTGAAGTTCCAATGACCCTTCTTGTGTTTTTGCCATACTGACAAACACATTATTCCTTGCACCATTCACTCTTGGAAAGCAATCTTCATCATATTCAGTATAGTATGAATAATAATCCTGATACCCATTATTGTTCAACAAGTTGTATGAACAACCACATGAGCCTCCAGCGAACTGAGTCCAACTTTTCTTTTCTGGAAACATAAAATTAAAATACGTAAATAAATAAATGAAAATAACACACTTAGTTTTTTTTTGGCAAAATTGTCAAATAACGAAATTAATATTACCTTGAGATTTAGGGTCCTGTATTATTCTCCTCCACTCGTCCAGTCCCTTTTCTAAAGATCTGATCAACCTAGGGTCGAGACTCGTAGCACTAGGCAGTTGACAATGGAGGGAAGCCATTTGTGTTTAATTAATTTTGAAACGCTAAGAGTGATGTAAATAATATAATGAAGTTGTGGAGATAATCGCAGGAGGTCGATCGCTAGCTATATATATAGTGGCCACATCAAAGTTTAGTTAGTATTGTTTCCTAATGCTATTCGTATTTATTGTTTCCTAATCGTTGATTGTTTGGGAATCACTCAACTTTCCATTACATTATAGGAGTATTACGTTTGTTTGTTTGAGATCATGTCATCAACTTGAAGTGATTGTTTCATATGTACATAGTACAAAATATTGTGGACGCTATTTTAATTTATCTAGTCATTATTTAATTAGTACAAACTCTTCCAGAGTTAATTATTACCTAAATAGGTCAAAAAAGTGGCCCAAGAGTACAAATAGGACTACAAATTTTTAATTCCCCCTAGTAGAACTATTTATATGTGTGTTTGGACAAATATACCCTTGTAGCTTTTCAATTGTCTTAATTAATAATAAAATCATAGAAAACGTAAAAATAATAAAAAATGTAAAAAAATACCGAGTAATAAAAAACGTCAAAAAAATATTAAAACACTTATAAAATATTTATACAATTAAAAATTAAAAAAAATGTTTAAAAAAAATGCCGCCGCCTCTGCCACCCTCATCACCACCAGCTCCCATCACCGGTTGGAAATCTGTCAACATTTTTAGTAATGTCATAATAATGGCAGATTCAATGAGAATTTTGGCATTATGATAAGTAATAATGCCATTTTCTTGGCATTTTCATAAAACAATGACATTTATACACAACAAAATGACAGAATTTTCACCGATCAGAGGTATCCGTATTTTTTTTTAATTTTTGTATGAGTTTTTACTATTTTTTATTAATTCGTTTAAAAAATATCTGCCAACGTGTTTAGTAATGTTATATTAATGGTAGATTCAATGAGAATTTTGGCATTATGAAGAGTAATAATGCCATTTTCGGGGGGAAATGGATTTTTGAATAAAAATGACAGAAATTTTACCGATCAAAGGAGGTGGTACTGTGAGGCGGTGGGAAAGGTATCCATATTTTTATGGGTTTTTTACTATATTTTTATTAATTTTTTTAAAAAAATCAAAATTATTACTCTACTAGAAAATTTAAAATTAAATTCACTGTTTTATAACTTCTTGAATTGGAGCTAGACTAAAATTACGGTTAAAACATTGTAAAATTAATGACTCACATTTTTAAAATATGTTTTTTGAAAAAATCAAGAAAAAATTTGTCTAAAAATGATCACCATCAATTCTAATCCAAACATACTTTATCTTTATATATATTTCTTAAAAGAAAGTTTATCTTATTATTTTGTTTAAGGCACATACAGATAAATAATACGGAGTACTACGTATTACTAACATCCCTTAAAACTTTGCGATATTTGACTTTTCAAGTCAATGGTACAGTGATAAAGTGTGATCATGATTTTGATTAGTATAATATTATGAAAGTTATAAATTTATGCTTTTACGTAAGTACTCTTAACAAATGATATTTTCATATCATTTTTAAATAATTTCTTTAAAAATGTATAATTGGTCAAACTTGAACCCGATTAACGAAAAATTCAACAGACGGAGTTTTAAGGGACACAGGAAGTATAGGTATGTTATATTGATTTTATATAAGAGGTAATTGTTTCGGATTTGACTAGTGTGAACCAGGTTATAGATTTTAGTTAGTGACCAGCTGACCATTAGTGAGCCCGAACTAACGAACTTTCAAATTCAATATGGATAATTGGATATTTTAAACTAGACAACAAAGAAAACCGACCAATAAATTTTAAGGCAGGCCGGGCCAAAGTCAGTTGCCAGGTTTGAGTTTGGTTATTCCTAGTCACGTTTATAGTTTCATTATCAAAAGAGATTGTTATGATCATTAACGAAAAAAAGGCATCATAAATTATAGAGAGATGGAAAACAAATTGAAGTAATTTTAGGAGGGACGTGGAACAAGATTCACTATATATGCAAAGACTAGAAATATATTTAGGCCTAAAACAAATGTTTTTAATTGGACTTATTGTAATGCTACGATTAGATTTAAATAGACCAGATCGATCAAATTAGATGAATTATCACTTCCGGATTTGAAAGATGAATCGATGAATTATCAATTCGGGGCCTGAAAGACGATAAGTATCGATATAGGGCCCGAATAATTGAAAACTATCAACCTAGGATCTAACTTCCATGAGCTTTTTTCAAAACTATTACTAAAATAAAACTTATTTAAACAAATATGACTAATAATTTCTACAATATAGTGTCATGGTATCTTAAGTTTAAAAATTGAACATAAATAAGTGATTAAAATCCTAAATGAAACAACCGTAACAAATAGATTTCTTATCATTCTTTGTCATGCCATTCAAAAAATACTTATTTACACAGTATATTTTCTAGAAGAGTGTCAAAGCATATCTTAAAATGCGAGTGATCAATTTTAAGGCATTCATCGCTAGAATTAGTACGTGAGGTTTTTCCTAAGTGACTATAAGTTACTGTATGTAAGTTTTCCTAAGTGTAACATTTGAACAAATTTATAGTTACTAAAGTTATTTGGATCACAATTTTGTCAACTACTTTATATATTTTGATTATATATTTGGTTTATTTGTTAGTACGTCTAGCGCGCTCCAGTTCAGTTATAAAACACTGAATTGAAAGTTTCTATTGGATGGAGTTATGTAAATAATACTATCTATTTGTTTTTTCTAAATGGTGATAGATTTCTAAATAACATAGGCACTAATAGAACATGATGCATATATTACAAGATCAACAACAACAAAAAACTTATTTTGGATTGATCGAAGACTTTATACTAATTAAATAATTACTAAATAAAATATCCTCCATAATATGACCCGGGTATATATGGAGTATGAAACAAACACTACAAATTGATGACATAATCTCAAACAAACAAACGTACCACTCCTATATTGTAATGGAAAGTTGAGTGATTCCCAAATAATCAATTAGGAAACAAGAAATACAAATAGGATTAGGAAACAAAATTAATTAAACTTTGATGTGTCTATATATATATATAGCTAGCGATCGAACTCCTTCGATTATCTCCACAACATAATTTACACCACTCTTTAACTTTTCGAAAATTAACACATATGGCTTCTTTCCATTCTCAACCGCCTAGTCCATCGATCAGGTCTTTAGAAAAGGGACTAGACGAATGGAGGAAAATAATTATACAGGATCCTAAATCTCCAGGTAAATAATACCCCGAATTTCGGTATTTGACTATTTTGCCGAGAAAACGTACTTAAAGTGTGTTCTTTTCATTTCTTTATGGGAAAGTTCCCGAAATAGAACTAAAATAGTTTGAAAATTCCAAAATAGGACTGTCATGTTTTTTATTCTCAAAATATGAGTAATTACTATCAAGTTTGGAAAATACTGTCATGTTTGAAGTCTGTTACTGCCAAAACATGATAGTAATTAGTCTTATTTTGGGAATAAAAACATAGCAGTCCTATTTTGGGATTTTCAAACTTTTTTAGTCCTTTTTTTGGTAATATTCTCTTTATTTATTTGTTTGTTTGTTTGTTTGTTTGTTTATTTACGTATTTTATTTTTATATGTCCAGAAAAGAATAGTTGGACTGAGTTCGCAGGAGGCTCATGTAGTTATTCATACAACTTGTTGGATATCAATAATGGGTATGAGGATTATTTTTCATGCTATACTGACTATGAAGATTGCTTTCCAAGAGTGAATGGGGTAAGGAATGTGTTTGTGAGTATGGCAAAAACACAAGAAGGGTCATTGGAACTTCAAAATCTGGTCAAGTATGGAACTCCAATGGATAGACAGGAAGTTCTTGATGGGATCCTTAGAGGGATTTTTGAGGTGATAATAGACCCATATGGCCATTGTCTCATCCATAGACTACTTGATTTTTGTGATTCCAAGCAGCTGGAGACCATCTTTTTCAATCTGATATCAAGCAAGGAGCTATTTATCTACACTTCTCAATTGAAATATGGGTAAATTTTATCAAATACTCCGTATTAAATTCACATTTTTATCATTCATCTACAATTTTTGTATTTTTTTATATCTTTTTTCAATGATTACAAACATATGATACAAATAATTAAACAACTATTGGTGGTGTAGCCAAAAGGTGAAAAGATATACACTTTTTGTAGACTCATCTGTGTACATAGACAATTACTAATTTTTTCTAAACGATTTGTCCGTGTATGTATACAGAGAAGGTGTATATACACAAAAAGTATACAATTTTTGTTTCCAAATAGAATTTTTCAAAAATAAAAATGGACAAGAACGTGAGTTATTTCTTCGATACACTGATACACAATCATTGTTAATCTATATTCACAACAATGATTACTTAATGCATGACTATTGTGATATTCCACTTAACCGGCCTTTAGTTACAATGATATTTCGAATAGCTAGACCATATTATATATAGTATCTATATTTTCTTATGTGTACAAGTTCTATTTTAATTCGTGACTATATAGAATTTTAATTTTACTATTGATTGTTTTAAGGTTTACTAATTAGTTTAGACCATCACTTCTTTGTTTTCATATAGGTCAAGTGCACTACAACACCTTATCAAGAGACTAAAGAAGACTGGGCTGGGACAATTTATTACATTCATTCTATCCATGAGATTTGTGGAGCTAATGACAAGCCAGTATGGTAGATATGTAGTTCAAGAGTGCTTTTACACCTTCAAGGCTGAAGAAAATAAGGTATTGGTTTCAACCTAAATCTCATTAATTAATAAATGATACCTAAACCAATGATACGTTCTAACTGGAGATTGAACAAGTTTGGAGTATGTTACGGATGAGTTAGCTTTCATTTTAAGAGTAGCACTATATATTTAGCAATAGCCGATACAATTGATAAATATATTTTTAAATATATAATATAAAATGTTCTACCCCCTTTATTTCTACTACGTACTCCGTTTTATTCAACGGTCTAGTATATATAATTGATTAGGGTAAAAGTAAATTACATTAGCTCTAAATATTTATGATCATGTAAAGAGTATATGTATTATCTCAATTCGCAATACAATTTACAACTTTATTGCAGGTCCTATACAACTGTGCAATCCAATACTTCAAAGAGGTGGCTACAACAATATATGGATGTTCATCTTTGAATGTTTGCCTCGGTTGTATTGGTGGCGGCCAGAGACTTGAACTACTTGAAAACCTTGCAGAGAAATCAGAATTTTTAGCTAATGATCCTTATGGGTAAATATTTCAAACATGAATCTGATTATCATATTCATATCATAAACTTTACACTTTTTAAGTTATAAAACTTGTTGTTGCCTCCCTTAAAATAGGAATCAAGTTGTACAAGAAGTGCTCATGCTTAAAAATGAAGAGATTACGCAAAAAATTTGTGATCGCCTCAAGAGGAGTTGCATGCATTTGGCTCTTAAGAAGAGTGGACATCATGTTATCGAGAAATGCATACAAACTTCGCACTACGGACTGAAGTCGATAGTTGAGTGCATCGTAAGCAGTGAACAGAATTTTTCGCGTCTAGCATGTGATCGGTTTGGGAATTATGTAATCCAAACAGCTATTGAGATTGCAAAGGTAAACAACTCATCTTTATTAATTTGAATTGCAATATTGATTGTTTCTTCATATTAATCTTATCATGCATTTTTACTTTTATACATACAGACAGATGATATTGGGCTTTATCAATCTCTTCTTGTGGTTCTTAAGGCACAACGTCGAACTCTTTCTCACAACACATTTGGCAAGCGCCTATACCGTCATGTAGAAGATTACGACACCAATGCGGAAGAAGATTAATCTGAGTTTTGATATGTTTGTATTTTTTGAAATACGACCCCCCAAGACCCCTATTTGCAGTGAATGTAACAACTATTACTCCATGTTATTTTTGGATAATTTGTTATTTTTTTAAGTATTGCTTTTATTAGTTTGTTATTAGATGGAGTGGATTTGGTATGCTAGTTTAGTTTAGCATCCGTAAGTTACGTTTGTATGTTATGTTGGTGAAATTGAAGAAAACGTTGCTTCTTTCAATATATTGTTGGGTTTATATGTTTTTACCTTCTTCTTATCTTAACTTCTTGTATTCTTTCAATATATTGTTGGGTTTATAATAAAACGTAGGTGTTCACTGCAAGCGCTTTTTGTAAAACTTACTACTATGGAAATATGGAATACAACTTTTGTGGCTAGTTGAATACTTTAATTTGATTTTCCACTGCAATTTTAAACAATTGCAGTTCCCTTTTAATAAAGGTTCTTATGCGCAATTCAAATAATACCAAATACATATACAGTAATATAAAACTTGTATACAGAAAGGGTAGTTTAGTTCAATTATTCATATAACCCTTTTAGAAGTATGCACTCATCTAGAGAAACTCAGAATTGTAATCGATCAGAATTGTACTAGAGTTAAAGACAATATCATATTTTGGCCATTTAAATACGGCGTATTTGCTTATGTTCATACATCATATCTAGCAATCTATCATCATACGGAGTAATAAATTTCATGGCTACACTCCTGAATGTTACTACTTACGAGTGATTGTGTTAATAATGGAGAGAACATACAAACAATTGAATTTCACTAACTGATAGCGTTAATAGGAAGATCGACTGTAAGTCTGTAAGCATGAAGAATAGTGATTGGATTATAATGGAAACAAGAGGCAAAAGAACTTAAGAGTTAAACCTTTGAGTGACAGAATAAACCGGGAGGTCTGCTCCTTTTACCGTCCCAGAAACCAAGAAAGCAATAGAAAAAAAGAGCAATGGAACTTCATATAGTGAAAACCCGAAGTGTTACAAGACTGAGACAGAGAGAGTTGCATGTTTTCGCACAAATTACCCACATGGATAAAAGAAGTCATTAAAACTTGCCACAGTACAAAATATTTTTGGGATCAAATGACAATAAGAGACTACTAGTCTACTACATGTAAAGCCCTTCTGGGACTCCCTCTTTCTTCTTAAACATGACCTTATCTTTTGCTTTCTTGAAATCAGCATGCACCACCTGGAAATTGGACATATACATTAACTAAATATTTCTCTATTACAGGAAATAAATTAAAATTCTCAACTAGTAACAAAGACACTACTTACCTTCATACGCCTCTCTCTAAGAGCAAGCAAACCAGCTTCGGTACAAATTGCTTTGATATCAGCTCCAGAAAACTCATCCTTTGTCATCACAAACTCTTCTAAGTTGACATCATCAGCCAATGTCATCCTTGCCGTGTGTATCTGATCACCAATTTAATAATAAATACTTAATTAAAGATTGTTTTTTACTTTGTTAAATTTTTTTGAATAAGCTATGCGCCCATGCATGCATATAAAGTACCTGGAAAATTCTACGCCTGGTTTTAATATCGGGAAGTGGAAACTCAATCTTCCGGTCAATTCTACCTGGACGAAGTAGGGCGGGATCAAGGCTCTCGATCTTATTAGTGGCGAGGATAACCTTAACATCTCCCCTTGAATCAAAACCGTCCAGCTGGTTAAGCAGTTCCAACATGGTACGCTGAATCTCACGCTCACCTCCTGAGTGTGCATCATATCTGTTCAAGGAAAATGTTTATTAAGGGCACCACGGTATTATTGTACCCTGAAAAGCATATCAAAGCTTACCTTTTGGTACCAACTGCATCAATTTCGTCAATGAAGACAATTGATGGTGAGAGATCATCTGCAACCCTGAATAGTTCCCTGACCAATTTGGGACCGTCCCCCAAATACTTTTGTATCAATTCACTTCCAACAACTCGCAAGAAAGTCGCAGAGGTTGAGTTAGCAACTGCCTGAAGATCATAGACATGCAATCTGTTAGATTCTTTGTACCAACAGCAGAAGAGAAGAAAATGCATATCCTAACAAGTTTAGAAATTACAAATTCATAGTCATATAGTCAAACTAGTATAATGTACCAGAAATATGAAAAGCATATTATGAAGAAAAAGATCCACCTAATGTGCTAACATGAGCGTTGCTTGTATATGGCCAATAGCTGGTAGAATTTTTAATTAGTCTACACCAGGGTAGTCAAAAGTGAGTGCCTCACCGCTTAAGCACACCAGGCAAGGCAACTAGGTGTACACTTAAAGAGTTCCCAGGTGCAGGGACTTGGGTAGTAGGAGCAGAATAGGAGCACAGGGTGATGTTAGTAAAAAAAACATAGGATCATGGCTGCACTAGGGATGGCAATATCACCCGCACCCGCGGATACCCGCTCAACCCGAACCGAAAATATGGACGAAAACCTGAAGAAGTATGGATGAAAAATGGATGACGGGTGGATTGAAAGAGGGTTTGGATCGGGTGTGGGTGAACACTGATCCAACCCATCACCCGACCCGTTACCCGCTCCATCCATCCACCCGCTGACCCATGTATATATATATTATCTATTGAATACTACATAATATATAATAATAATAGTTAATATTAATATAATTAATAAATTAATATATTAATAGATTAATATATAGTTAGATACTTATTGTTAATAGATATGTATATGTAGCATATAAATATTACTGAAATACCTAAAGCCCTTAGCCCTAAATCCCTAATGGCCTCATCCCGTTCAGCACTTCAGCGCCATCTGCGAAGTTTTTGTTTCAACGAATTCTTAATTTTTGGTTTTTATTTGTAAATGATTTCTCCTTATAATTTATTTATTTTGTCTCAAGTTTGACCATTTGTATTCACCCGTTACTCACCCGATCCACCCGCTAACCCGTTCACGATGGATGGGTTGGATGTGGATGTAATTTTTAATGGATGATGGACGGGTGGGTGGAATATAAAAAATTAACGGGTGGACGTGGATGAGCCTCCACCCGGTATAAATCCGACCCGTTGCCACCCCTAGGCTGCACAAGAACCCACGGGATTTACTAGGAGATATACCACAGCTTATAGTAATGAGAATATAAGCCAGATGATAGGAAAAACTTATCCTCTTTAAATGTATCAATTATCATGTATGATCCTTGATGAGAGTCGGGACTTGGGTTAGAACCTAAGTCACATTGCAATTGTTGACCTGGTAAATCACAACTTTGGTTTTGAATTTGCATTGACTAGTATCACAGATTAAAATTGTTATGCACATATCAATTTTGGTGCACGTGGTTTAATTATATTTTAAATATATCATGCTTGATAAATCAAGGATTAAACTGTGTGCCTTGCATGAGTCAGGTGTGTGCTTTGAGCCTCATGTGATATAGGAGTCTAGCAACTTGAGAGCGCATTACAACTTTGGGAACCTTGGTCTACATTCTACACTAACAGTTAGAATTACTGATGTCAGTAAAATATCTGAACTTCAGTATATATTGAAATCATTAGGTTATCAATTAGTAATTTCTAAATTTGACATTATTTATAATCTATAATGAATAGTTGCTAATATTTTATGTTATACTCCCTCCGTCCCATAAAACTTGGCCAATGTTGACTTGCACGTAGAATAATAAAGTAAAAACTTTGTGGTTGAAATTTGTGCAGAGGAGAGAGAAATAGTTTTAGCCACATATTTGTTGTTTTTAATGGAAATGGCAAAGTTTTTTGGGACGGCCAAAAAAGGAAATTTGGCCAAGTTTTATGGGACGGAGGGAGTATTACATTATTACCTAATAACGTTTGATAGTATTATTATAACAATACATGCTATACAAAAACTTCCATAACAATACTTGCTATACAGAAACTTTCATACATTACAACAAAAATGATAAAAACAAACATACAAACATACTTGATCTCATCATTAGGGGTATGCTAGCAACGGTGGATCGGGTCTAGGGCAAGTGAGGGCCCAGGCTTGCATCGAAAAATAAGTTTAAAAGGTTATATATATAATAAAATTACTCCCACTCAAAGTCTCAAACAATAGAAAATTGTTAATCGACAGCCCATGGGCTCGTCAGTAAGTCCAGAACCCCTAAATTAAAAAACACAGCCCAATCACACGTGCAAAGCAGCGTACTTCGTCCCCTCATCCTCTTCAGTTCTTGAAGGTCAGAAATCGCAAGTGGCAACTCCAGAAGTCTAGTCGTCCACTCGTCCTCTTTGGCGCTTCGCGGCTCTCACCTTTCTGAGTCTCAAACAGTCACACCGGTTGGCCATTGGCAGTCAGCGGTCGCTGCCCAAATCTTCTGCCGCATACTCTAACTTTGCCGGCTGCCAGAGTGTGCCAGTTCGGCAACTCTTCTACTCGCTGCTGGCTTCTTGGAGCTCCTCTACTTTGCCGGATGCTAGAGACAGGAGTGCGCCAATTTCAGGTTTTTTAGTTGCAGTTTTATTTTGGTAATATTTTTTTACTTTCACCTTTATAATAAAGCTTTTGTTTCCAGAATTTCAGTTTTTCACTTTGACCAATATACTTTTTCGTATATTAAAATTTGCCCCCCCCCCACACTCAATTCCAATGCTAGATCTGCCTCTGTATGCTTGATCATGGAAAATGCTAGGGAAGGAGAAAAGATTGATAGAGGAAGTTACTTTCTTGTGTTTGAATTTACCTATGACTAATGCTTTAAAGTTTTAGAGCATGTTTAGAATTATTAGAATTTGTAAATACGGAGTAGCATATAAATTAATAAAACGAGTTTAAACAATACCAAAAATAGATTTATTGAGGTTAAGTAATATTTTTTGATCTGCTAATGCTCTACAGATGCAGCTTATATCATCTGCAAGGTGCTATCTTTTTCTTTCCTATAGATAAACTATGTTCACCCGGTCACGAAAAACATTGCTCTCTTGAGCCTACCTCGTTGACAAAGAAACTCAACTATAATGAAACAAACAGAAATGAAGTTGTGAACAAACCTTTGCAAGCAATGTTTTTCCAGTGCCAGGCTCTCCATAGAGAATAACTCCCTTAGGTGGTCTGATACCTATGTCTTCATACAACTCGGGATGTGTTAAAGGAAGCTCAACTGCTTCCTTGATCTCCTGAATTTGTGCATCTAGTCCACCAATATCGGCATATGATTCCAGTGGAGCCTTCTCAACCTTCATCACTGAAACCATAGGATCAACATCATCTTGGAGAAGCCCGAC